GCAGAAGATTTAGTTCCACCCTAATGGCATCTAGTTCTTTGCATATGGAAACAGAATGGGACTCCTTAAATTGAGATTCTGGCTGCTTGAGACAGGATGATACATTTGCCACCCAGGACTCCCCCTCCCTCTTCCTGCAGGATGCTAGTTGTATAAGTTTCCCTCGAAGTGTAACTTTATGAGCCTTCCACAAAACCATGGGGGATGAAGCTGAAATGGTATTGTTAATAAAGTAGTTGGAGATGGAGTCCTGAATGGCTCCCACCATCTCATTAAAGGATAACAATGACTCCTTAAGACCCAGGAAGGGATAGAGGCTAGTGAGTGGTCAGACCAGGGTGTAGACAAAATTATGACATTAAGGACATTTGAGATAACATATTGAGCAATCAAAAAATGGTATATTCGTGTGTGGCAATCGTGGGGTGCCGAGCAGAAAGTATAATCCTGCCCTCTACGGTTAAACTCCCTCCAGGCATCCAACAATGAAAAAAAAAATTAAAAAAAATAAAGGGGGGGGGGGGGGCATAGTACGATAACTCGTAGGTTTATGGGAGAGAGTCCAAGACCATAGTCTTAAGCTTGCTTTGAGTTTAATAAATTCAGGTCTATGGGCCTGTGTGCGCGAATTCTTTGTGGTTGCAGGACAATACTTGTGCTCACCATTGCAACCGGCTTGTACTGCACTTATGGACTCGCCACATCACCAAGTCATACTGCAGTGCTGGTATTATTATTATTATTATAATACAGGATTTATGGCGCCAATAGTTTGCTCAGTGCTACAATATAACGGGAGACAATACAGAACAATACAGTTCAATACAAGAGGGTTAGGAGGGCCTGGTCCTGAGAGCTTACAATCTAAGAGATATGTGAAAGACCAGTATGTACTAGGCCACTAGTACTCACCAGTTCACCAAAAGGTAGCGTGGTACTAGTACTGGCACTCTGCTGCATATGAGAGTCATTAAAATTTACCGACAAGTGCTAACAGAGATCAGGCCTGATTCTGCGAACACTGCGGTTTTGTGTGTAATATATCAAGTGACAGTGACCTACTGACACTACACTTGCTGGGGGATAAGGGGAGGGTAAGCGTAGGGGCTAAATGCAGGTGCTGGCAGGTGCCGGGGCTGATCCTGCTAACGCTGCGTTTTTGCGGACGCTATACTAATGTGAACGCTGGTATAGTGCTGATCTGATCAAAGATATTAATCCGTTCAGACACTATACTAGCAATGGAGGTTTATTGTATATGAACGTGTTCTTGGCAATCAAGGGGTTAAATGTGATAACTGGTGTACTGAAGGCAATCTGACGCTATCTGGGAGGGGCGTGCAAATCGCAGGTGTAACCGCTTCCTAACCGCCCTATAGCAGAAATTCTGCTACAGGGCGGCATGGGTGCACAAAATCACATATATATACAGTATATATATATGTGATTTTGTGCACCCATGCCGCCCTGTAGCAGTATTTCTGCTATAGGGCGGTTAGGAAGCGGTTACAGAATCGGTTTGTGTTACGTCACTGCGTTATTTTAACTGAAATTGCGCGGTCATGCAACACTGCACCCCAATTAAATGTACGTCCTTTTTTACCACAAATTGAGCTTTTTTTGGTGATATTTGATCGCCTGTGCGTTTTTTATCTTTTGCGCTATAAAAAAAAGGCTGACAATTTTGAGGAAAAAAACAATATTTTGGACTTTTTGCTATAAACATGTCCAGTAAAAAATGGAAAAATCAAATTTCTTCATAAATTTAGGCCAAAATGTATTCTGCGACACGTCTTTGCTAAAAAAAAATCCCAATACGTGTAAATTAATTGGTTTACGTGAAAGTTATAGCGTTTACAAATGGCGGTATAGATACTGGATTTTTACATTTTTTATACAAATAATGGCAGCAATCAGCGACTTATGGCGGGACTGCGGGACTGTGGCGGACATTCTGACACTGGGGGGAACTGACTTGGGGTCACTGACATCCCCAGTGACACCAATACATTGATCAGTGCAAAAAAAAAAAAAAAAAACACTGACACTGTACTAATGGCACTAGGGAGGAAGGGGTTAACTTTTTTTTAGGCAATGAAAGGGTTAACTGTGTGAGGGGAGTGTTTTACTAGGGGGTGGGGGTGTGTGCTTCACGGCAACACGCTGATCAGGATCAGCATGCTCGGAACTGGCAGGGAGCAGAGCTGCAGTGTAAATACTGCAGCTGTGCTCCCTGTCAGTGATTGCCGGGACCCGGCTGGGTAATGACCGGCCGGGACCCGGTGATTGACACCTGTGCCCGCAATCAGCAGCACAGGTAGGGCGGTCATGCGCCTCGCGCTACCCCCTACAGCGGTGCCGCCCTGCCGCAGTAAAAACACTGTGGCTGGACGGCAACCAGTTAACGTCCCCATAGAAAATAAATCAGAGATTTGACTGCCACAAAAACAGTCTGCAGGCTTTTTTTTGCATAAATGCAGAGGTGTGGTGTACATGTTTGTAATGATGTCTTGTGCAGACAACCCCCACATCAGCAACATCTCTGGCCTACTGGTCACCACTGTGTGTGCTGCCTGGATTCATCCGTGTCCAAACCTCAGTTGCCCAGCACCTTTGTTTCAATTACATTTTTCTTAAGTTTTGCAAGAGTAAAGACACCCCTGCTGTCAACACTGACCTACTTCAGTTCAATTTCCTCAACAGGAAACAATTTCACATTTTAATACATACACTCTTATGGTATAATGTAAAGAGTTTTGCTAAGGAGAAAGGACAATTGAACCTGATCAATAAGTAGCAGTGTTGGTTTACATATCTATGGGATCAATGTTTCTCAAGTTTTTTGAAAACATTTAAAAGGTGAGCGTGAACCATGAGTAAAGCATCTGATTTAGGGCTGCCCCAAAGTAATGTAAGGAGCTCAAAAAGGGTTAATGATTAAAGCGTACCTGTAGAGAAGAGGAAATAAAGAAAAGCAAAGAAGAGGCTGGGAGTTTGGTATGGGGAGGTCTGGGCTGGTCCTTTACCTGTTAACCTCCCATAGGTAGAGAAGGATCCTTGGCATCCACATTTCTTAAGCCTTTAAATGAGTCATATATAGTAGGTGAAAGTTTTTAGTGAATGAAGTTCTGGGCTATTTTTCTTTAATTTGGGAACTCAATGGAGTAGTCAACCACAAAGCTGTAGCTATAGTTTGTTTTGCAGTTGTTAAAATTATAGAGAATCCTGAATTGATTTTTGGGACATCCTGTTGGTTTTGGGTCGAGGTGAGACCTATTTAGGGATGCCTTTGATGCATAGCACATGCAGATGCATGTTCACAAACGTTTTCTGTACAAAAAATGTGTGCTCAGTATTTTCTTTATTGGTTTGGAAGTTTTCTAAAGGACAACCAGATACATCTGCCTTTTTGCCTGTTGTAGAATAATTTGTTTCTGAGTATATGCTTTGTGATTTATGCCACTTAAAGGAGAAGTACAGCAAAAGCTCTTTTGGCTTTACTTCTCATGTGGATCATAGGAGTGTAGTTCGTTCTGCACTCCTGTGACCCGTTTTTAGCTGACAGCTGACTGAAGCCTGCTATCGGCTGACGTCACTCAGTGGGTCCAGGCTGGGGAAAGATCCCTACTTCAAAGTTGGGAAGCATCCCAGAGTCTGGAGTGGCACCTGCCTCAGCCTCTCAATTAGCTGCTGAGAGCCTGCTCCGGCGGCTCCCTCCTCCTCCATAGGGGGCAGAGCAGACAGCGGTGACTGACAGTCAGAACTCTCTGCTCAGAGCAGCTGTGAGAACTCAGTGATCAGCAGTCATGTGATTGCTGAGTTCTCACACTTGGAGCCGGTGGGGGACAGATGCAGCATTGGACCGATGCTGCATCCACCTAGGTAAGTCCACACTTCTATCTTAATGCCTACTTACCCTGTCTTGACTTCTGAGTGTCAGTCACCTACCCTGAATTATGTTTATTCTCATGAATGGACTCTTGCTTGGCTTGTCAGTGACTTCCCTCCAACTGATTCTTTATTACTATGTTGTGTCTGCTACTGACTCTAATTTATATCAACATATTACCATGCCTTTCTTGTCTGTGTGCTGGGAAAGCCCATCTTTCTCAGAATTAATAATCTGGCACATAAGACATGGGGACACTTTGGTAAAGACAAACTGTATACATTTCCCCCTCAGCAGCTGCTATAGGTTAAAAAATTGTAGCATTGGTCATCAAGTCTATCCTATGGTTAAATTACAATTGACTAAGTTATGTTGGAGTGGATGTGGGATGGAAGGAACTATAGCACATTTATGGTGGGAGTGTCCTAAAATACAAGAGTTCTGGCAAGGAATAATACAGCAAATACAGGAGATAACAGGAACTAGAATATCGAAAGATCTTTGGGTCTGTTTATTTCACAACTCGGATCTTACAGTGAAACAATATAATAATATGGTGATATTTAATTTGATAAATACCGCTAAAGGATTGATCCCTAGATTTTGGCAGATACAGGAAACCCCAAAAATAAAAGACTGGATAAACAGAGTGCAGTATATATACAGGATGGAGGAACTATACCATATTGGAGAGGATAAAATAAAAAAAAATAAACAAAACCTGGGAAAAATGGATGTGCTTTAAAACAGCTAAGAACAGATAGGAGTGTACTTAGATACTTAGATACTTAGAACAGATAGGAGTGTAAAAGAGAGGAAAAGGAAAGATTGACGGTTTCTTTTTCCTTTCTTTATCATTACTGCTATGTGGGGAAGGAGAGAGGAAGGTGGAGGACAGAAGGAAAAGGTAGATAGAGGAACAGGATGAATAATGAGAATAGTAGGAGGTGACACGCCGAGGGCAGGGGAGGGGGAGGGGGGGATTTTGTAAAATTTGATATGGAAAATGTAATTGTAATATTTGAATTGTTTGTTTTGTAAGGTAAAATTAATAAAAGCTATAATAATAAAAAAACACACTGATTGCCTTTACACCCATAAAGTCTATAAAAGCAATCATTTCTCCTTCTCTGGCTGCATTCTTGCAGCCATTGAGAAATACTGTGAGAGCTGTGATTGCTCACAGCTTGTCACATGGTACAAGACTGTTGTGAATAGCCTTGTACCATGTGATCTCTGTGATCATTCAGATTTCACTAGTAGTAAGCAATGATGTCAGAATTGACATCTTGCTTGCTACAATTCATGTGATCACTGATTGGCCAATCAGTGATCACATGATCGGGACTTAACACAGAGGTCCCATACAGCGATTGGTGTTCCACTGTTTCCGGAGGATGCAGCAGGCACCTGATCACAGTGCAGCGCACTCCCAGGGAGAGCGCACAGGCAGAAAATGAGGGCGCCGTTTATGAATGGCAACCTGCTCCTGCACTGCTCCCGTCCGGCCGTTTATGTACATGGGCTGGACGGGAAGTGGTTAAATCAGCACTTTTTGAATTTAGAGTTAGGAGAAAAAGTGTTGAGAGTTCCTTGGACTGAAAGCTGTCAATGTAGAAAATAATATGTTTTGTGCACTAGAAAGAGTGGCTCTAAAACTGGAGAGCAGTCATTTTGTCTGCATAATAGGAAGGTTAACCTCTGTAAGACGCTATTATTCAGACTGCAGGATGTTAAAAGAGACACAAGGTATCAGTATACTGCAACTCACTGACACACAAACTCTGGTAAAATGTTATGGTTCTTATAGGCTGAAATGCAGGACTTTGTTAGAAGGGACGGATATATATATATATATATATATATATATATATAAGCCTGGGAACAGAAAGAGGAAGTGAGAGGGGAAAGAGCAGAGAGAAAGTTGTGCTGACTTCCAGAGAGAACCGGACCAGGTTGCAGAGCTAGAGAGAGGAGAAGCAAAGAGGAGTCGCTCACCGCTAACCTTCCCACCCTGTTCAACAAGACAACCTGCCAACAGGTGACCCAGAGCGTGGTGACCGGACAGAACACTGTAAGTGAGGTCGAAGAACCTGGGGGCGGGGGGGCATCCTCTGACAGAGACAGTGAGGACCTATTGGAAGCCACCAATCGGGTGAGAGCGTCCCATACACCAGTTAAACAAGAGAACACTGACATTCTCCTCATATCTAATACTTTTTCTGCACACAGTTGCAGACATTGCATTCAGTTAACATGTTTTGGTCTAGTTCCCACAGCTGCTACAATTGAACACATTTGCAGCATAGTCCAATCACCAGAGCTGACAACAGTGCATGATTTCTGCAGGCTGGATCACATCAGTGCTCCTTTAACCATTGGCCTACCCTCCTAAAGGAACTTCTACCACCATTGTCATTGGTTACTGCAGCCCAGAGTGGACTTGCCCTTTGCCAACATGCCCTATTGCCAGTTTGACACCTTATTTGCCTAAAGCTGCCCTTTTCTCAGTGCATTAAAGGAGACAATACCGAAGTGAGGTGCCACTTAAAGGGAAAGTATTTGTCCTTCTTTCTTCCTTTCCTTGCATTAATCCTTTGAGGGAATGTCACTTTCACCCCTCCCTACTTGTGCACCAACTGGGCCCCAACGAGCGTGCAGAAGACTCCTCACTGCATTTCAAGGGACATTAACTATCCTGGTCAAAGAGCTCTTTTCAGTCTCAGACTTAAACTTTGCCATCAGATTCTGAGGGCCCAAAGTGAGCTAGTTCAATATTTGGAAGTTTTCCTTTCTCACTGCAGACAAGAAACACATCAGGTTAGAAGTGCTTTCATTGAAGTCTAATAAAAAACATCATACCCGTTTACCCTATTCTGTGTGTCTCTACTTTTTGGTGGTAATTTACACAAAAGAATACTGAAGTGTCAGCAGGGGTTGGGTTTGAAAAGAGGAGCCCAGAACGACGGAGTCCAAAAATAACTCAGCGACTCCTAAGGGGGTAGTGCTACACTTTAATAAAGAAAAATGTGATGTTCCTCAAATTAGATATTGTGTTAAACATGTAAGTAAATAAGAAAACAATAACCTTTGCTAAGTGGAAGAGTGGGTTTGATAATAAAGTTGCAGTGTCTCCACCCCAGACAGGGCTTTTGTGAACACAAGGGGTTCCCTTCCTAAGAAATTAATCAGTGATCTAAACAATGTAATTGGGAGCAGAAAAACTACTGCAACCAGCATATAACATTAACTTTAGGTGTATAGATGCACTCCAGTATATAAATAATAGAAGCTTTATAAAGGAAGAGATTAATAACCTTACATACAGTACATCCAAACATTTATTATCAGCAAAGGGCCTGATAGGAGTCCTGGTGGAATTGTGCACACACAGGTTACCTGGGTACATGTATTTATTAATAGAGATACCTCAAAATAAATGTTGCAGCAAAGTTCAGTTGCAGGGGCTCCTGAGGATGATGAGGCATCTGTCTTTGTGTCTGAGACATGAAGACAAGATCAGCGGTCACAGACGGGATTCTCCAACTGTTGTCCAACCAGACTGTAATGGAGCTTTTCACTGGCAGGAACTGAAGCTTATTGGCTACCATACACAACTGCACCTCATTCTGAGTACTACAGTTTTAGTAAATCTCCTTCTGTGAGTCATGGGGAGAAATAGCACTGGCTGTATAAAAGGACTGGATCCCTGACTGGACAGGCTTACTAACTGTGGCAAAATCTCTTGTGATTCAGTGTTCATTGGCTCTCTTGGAGGAGAGAGTGATATTGGGCCAGAGACCTCAGGAATGACAGTCCAATCACTCTCGTGAGTATCAGGAAGATCAAATGAAACTTCTTCCTTTTAAAGTCACACAGGCGGAGGGGCCTGTGCATGGCGGCGTCGGAGAGCGCAATGTAGCTGCTCTCCGAGACCTCGGATCCTGACCTCCCGTACGCTTTATGCTGTTGAGTGTCTATTTCCCCGGGACTCATGTGGGAAGGAGATGACCGGGGATTAGTTGGTGAGGTGGTGCCCCTGTGAAGTGCGAGTGGATCTGGCTGACGCCTCTCCTCGGGTTGGGTAGAGGAGATTCCAGAGGAAGAGCCGGGTTGCCAGGGAGACGGAGAGACAAGGCAGGACCACGTGGTAACCGCAAGGGAGTATTGGGAAGAGGAGAAGCCGGCCGGCGTCCGGAGGACAGGCATGGATGTGGTCTGTTCTCCGGCTTCTCCCTGCTCTGTGGTCTGTGTCCTGAATACCCCTGAACAAAGGATAAATTGTTGCTCTGCCTGAAGCCCTAGTAAAAGGACTGAGATATACAGAGGAACCCCCCCCAGAGGAAGAGGAAAAGATCTGGAGAGATGGATGACAGTAGCCAGAGAGTCTGACAGGAAAAAGAACGGAGAGGGGAAGGTGAGTGAGAGCAGCTCTGAAAAACAGTATAATGTTGGGCTTGATATTAAGGAGCAGCGTGTGAAATGGAGAAGGAGGGTTCCAAAGGGGGCTTCTAAGAAGATCAAAACAGCAAAGAGGAAGATTAAATTAAACTAAAGGACCCTAGAAATGTAAATTAAAATTCAAGTGCACATCTAAATAAGTAGGGAAAACCTGGGTCCCCAGTTGAATAGCGGAGATCTTCAACAGTGTTTTGAAAAGGGACCAGAAGATATGAAGAATAAAAGTGTAAAAGGAAGCGGGGCCAAGGGAGCCCAGACTGCCTCAATTAAAAAGTATACGTCCCAGGGAAACATGACCCCAGAAAGACCCCTGGTAACAAGTGAAAAGAGCGAATGGGATGTTAGCTTGGAAAAAAGTCCTAGACTATCCCTAGGAATTACCAGTAGTAGTCAACATAGTCAACATATGTCAGGAAACATGGAAGAGAGAGAACTGGAAAGGGAACTACAAGTGCCGAATAAGAAAGAAATTGGAGAAATGTTTAAAAGCTTGGAAAACTCAATAAAGCATGAAATAACAGCAATAAGGAATGATCTTGGGCAATTACTATGCAGAGTGGAATAAACAGAGGGGAAACTTAAAGATCATGCCCAGGATATCTTAGATCTTAAGAAACGGACATTGGAAATCAAAAACGATAAAAAAAAACTGCTTTATAAAATTGAGGCTCAAGAAAATAGGGATAGAAGGAAAAAATCTCAGGTTACGAGGAATCCCAGAGAGTTCACAGGGGGAGGACTTGAAAAGGTTAATGAGTAAAATCCTAAATTCCATAATGGACAGACCTATGTCAGAAATATATAAACTGGACAGGGCATTTAGAGTAGGAAAAGTCCAGCAAAGAAATGGCGGAGAAAGACCGAGAGATTTAATCGTTCAATTTCATAGGCTGAGCGATAAAGAAGAGCTATGGAAGAAAATAAAGGGAAGAACAAGTATTAAATATGAAGAAATAAATGTTCAAATTTTTGCAGATTTAGCACCAGAGACATTATGGAGAAAGAGAACTTTAAAACCCCTGACAGAACAGATGAGAAAAACAGAATGTGTGTTACAGATGGGGAGCTCAGGCGAGCTTAATTGGATGGAAAAATGGACTCACGGCCATGCTGAGATTTCCTGAGGATTTAAGGGATTTTTGTGATAGACTTGAAATACAAAGAGTAAAGATTCCAGTGTGGGATGAGGAGAGGGGAGATATAGGGGACATGGGGAGAGAGGAGTGGCAGTTGGTGGGAGGGAGAGAGTAGGGGGTGAGGAGAGGAGAGAGACGGGGTGTTCCTTTTTTTTTTTTCCTTCTTCTTTCATTCTTTCTTTCTTTCTCTCTCTCTCTCTCTCTCTTTCTCCTCCCTCGCCCCTTTTTGTCCTCTTGTTTTTCTTTACGCTGTTTTCTTTACGGTTGCTTTTTATGAACACAGTTTTGCCATCAGGGGCTTTTAAAAAAATTATTGAACTAGATGCATAGAGGGAGGGGGTAGGTGGATAAAGAGGAGCCGTATGTGGACAGAGCTTAACCCTAAGGTATTAAATCAAAAGTGGGTTTTTGTCCACAAATGATTAGTAGGCAAATTCTAAGCCTAAAAAAGGATGTAGGTGGGGGGGGGATGGGGGGGGGGGGGAGGTAAGGGGGCTAATACTCTGCGGGTGGAGAGAAGATAGGAGAGAGGTGTGAGAGGGGAGAGAGGGTGGAAGGAGAAGAGAACTATGGAATAAGTACAGTTTGTAACTTATA